GCCCGCGCCGGACTTGCCCGGGGAGTCGCGGAACCGGTCCCCGGGCGAGTTCCAAACTTCCCCTTTGGGGGAGAGGGTGTGTGTGCGCGAGTGAGAAGTTCATTGTTCACGCCTCCCGGTGCCGGCGCTGCTTGGATGCCTTCGAGAGGACCCGACTGAGTGTGGTTGTGCGGACTTGGGCAGGTGGGTGGGCTGGGGAATCCATCTCACAAGCATTTTAATTTGTAAAGATTAAAAAGCAGCAAAGACGAGGCAACTCTGAGTGTTTCCCGGGGAGCGGGGGCAGGGAGGGGTGCCGCTCCAGGCGGGCGGGTGGAGGCTGGGCTTGGGCTCCAGGGGGCCAGCTGATGACACGGAAGTCCCAAGTCCTGCCTGGAGCTGGGAGCAGGAGGGGCCAGATCAATTAACGGGCTGCCTGTGCCCGCAGACCTAGGGCGTCCCGAGTTACTTTCCAGTGGAGGGGAGAGAGTCCACTGGCAAGTGAATGAATGTAAGGAGGCTGGTTTGTTGCTGAGCTCTGGTGTCTAGGTTTGAAAAGCTGTACTCAGTGTCGGGTGTTAGGTGCGTGTATGTGTCTGTGTTTAACTGGAAATGGTTATTTCACAAATTACGCAATTTTTATTCTCTGTGTTTTAAAACTCATGGCAATTAGAGCTTTTTGTGTTCTCAAGGGACGGCGACTACTTTAAAATATTGCAGCATGTGAAAATGGCTGTGACTGCTTTAAACACAAGGTAGGTTAGTGGGGGAGAGACAAACAGAGTGAGGTTGGATTTTACAATGCCATCTGGCCTGCTAAGCGCCCAGGCTCAAGACTCTGTTGCTTTTGGCATCAAGTGGCGTTGCAAGAAGCTGGTGGTTTCTTCATACCTGGAGGGTTAGGGATTCCCCCCACACCTCATTTTGTCTTTATTCGGTTCACTTGGAAATGCCTCATAGAGCTTGTAGTTAAAATATGCTTATTCTACACATGCTTCAGTACTTGGATAATAGAACTCTACATGGTCTGAGAGAATAAGCATATTTGATTTACTTCTCTGAGATAATTGGCTTTTTTTTTTCACCCTACATTAGTAGAAAACCGAAAGAGTAACAGGCTCATTCTCGAAGCGCTTTTATCTCCTTTGCCACACCTCTCCATCTTTGAGTCTGTGAGATGACACACTCTATGTTAAACTGAGAAGCATGGAACCCTGTTTGAATACTTTCTAATGTGTCCTAGGCCATATGGCAGAGCTGTGGTTTGTGCTTAAAAGAGTAAAATAGATTTCAAAAACCCTTTCAAAATGGTACTCATTCGATGAGGCTGGTCCAGTTTCCTGTTAAGAGACTGTTGTATATTTAATCATCCATTTCATTTTATTCCTATAATAAAACCTTTCAGATTTTGGCCTTCCTGATACTAAAGTGGGCAGTGATCTGTCTCCCTTCAGATTTTGAGACATACATTTTAAACTGGCTTCACTCCTGTACTGGGCTGGTGGCCCACTGCCAGAGGCCATGTAGTGTAGTGGATAAGAACAGTAGACTGCATCTAATTCTGTGACCTTGTGGAGTGTCTCTTGCGTCAGTTTTCTCACCTGTAAAGTGGGCATAATCATACCGATTTCATGGAGTTGTAACAAATTTATAAACCCATCTGAAATATAGAGGACAGTGCCTTCCATGAGTGTTGCTTGTTATTTGCGTATCATTGGGTCATGGAAGATTTACTCCCTGAGCAGTAAGAAGCTGACTGTACACTGATGCATACAGTGACATTTCCCCTTCCCAGGGTGAAGGGGGTCATCCTCCTGCCTTAGGTTCCATCCTAATCTGCTCTGTAGCACTGCCTCCCAGCTTGGATTTCCTGCTGGTGTGTGTGGTCTCTCCCCAAAACACCTTTGCCATTGCCCTGATCTGGATCCCTGGAGTAAGGGGCCTTCCAGCCAGAGAGAGGAATGCGGGCAGTCACGTTGGATGGGGTGCTTCAGGGAAGCAGGGCCCTGCAGGGTAACTAACTCTCCTAGAGGTCTCTCACAGTTTGCTGCTTTAGTTGAGTTAATAAATGCTTGTTGAATGAGTGAAGAAATGAATGAATGAAATGCTAACTAGCTAATATCAACGAGCTGAGAATAATTACTTCAAGGCCCTCTGGGATTGTTTATATAAATGTATTTCATGTGACACCTATCTCCCTAACTGTGAAGTTCCCCAACAGCTGAGGCATTGTTTAAAAATTATTAAAGCTGGAGGAAGGGTATAGCTCTGTGGTAGAGCGCTTACTTAGCCTGCAAGGTCCTGGGTTCAATTCCCAGCGCCTCCGTTAAGAATAAACAAATAAACCTAATTACTCCTCCCCGCAAAAATTATTAACGCTGATCTCCTTGCCTCCTGTCTCCTCCCTCTCCATTCCATTTTCCACACTGTAGCTAAGCTGGTCTTTCTAAAACTCAAATTTGATCCTGTCCCTCCTCTGCATAAAACTCTAGTGAGGCCTCCATTAAGCTTGATAAACCCATTGAGCTGGGCTCTGCTTGCCTTTCCAGATTCATTTGCATCTCTGACCCCACCACAGGGGCCTCCCAACCCATGGCTCAAGCCAGGTTCCTTTTTCAGGTTCACCATCCTATTGCTTTTATGGGTATACAGTCCTTTTTTTTTTTTTTTTTTTTTCCTGGAATACTCTTCCTCCTTCCTGTCCTGTATCTTACCGGGCTGTTCTCAGCTCACTGTTATCATTAATATTGTTATCTAATCTCCACTGGTGCTTGCCACTTGCCAGACATTGTGGCAGAGTTATGACGTGCATTTCATTGAACGCTCACATCAATCCTTTGAGCTCATTGCTGTCATTATTCCTATTTTAAAGCTGATGAAACGGAGGCTTAGATTAAATAAATTGGCCAAGGTTATAGAGTGGAACCAGTGAAAGCAGGATTTGAACTCAGATTTGCGAGACTCTGAAGCTCTAGTCCCAGCCATTGTGACACCAGATGTCACCTGCCCAAGCATGGGATTCGTTCTCCTTTTCTGAGTGTCTCTGTACTCGTTTATGGTATTTACCATACCATATGGTAATTGCCTGTTTCTCTTTCTGTACCCCCTACTATTATGGAAACCATGAGGGCAAAGGTTATGTCTGCAATTGTTCAACATTTTATCCTCTGGGTCTTGGACACAATATTCATGCAGCAATTTTATTGAACAAATTTTGTTGAGCAGATTTGTCCATGATTTTAGGTCAACCTTAGTTGTCCCTCTTTATGACATATTTGATGTTTTGCAAGTATTTCCAATCAGTAGAGTCCCAAAAGTTTCATGACAAATATGAGTGACTTATCACTGTTTTTCTCTCCCTCTCCCTTTTCTTGCCTCTGTCTCTTGTTGTTGTTTTGTTTTTATAAGAATCCCAAGAAGTTTCTTAATCAAAACATCGTGTATGTATTTAATGAATTTTCTTCCTTGGAAGAAAGGACTGAGAATCAACTCACGAAAGTAACCCTCCTGTGAAAGCTCAGCATTGGCCATAATGGGACCTCCAGAGACTCATGAAATGCAAACGCTGTCTGCAGGAAGCTTAAGTTTTAGTGAAGAAACTGTATATACAGAAAGTCAGCAAGTAGTGTTTCTTGTCTAATAACTCTGTGTCTTCAGGAATATGAATGTGTCCACACATTCAATACTTTGAAGACAAATAAATTAGCCTTGAGAAGCCAATCATATTTTAAATGAATCCAGCTTACATTTTAGAGGGAAAAAAAAAGTCAATTTCTAAATGTCAAAGTCCAGTAAACAAAGATCTAAAAGCTGAAATAGGACAAGTGACAGAGTGTGAGGATTGGGCCTTTTTAAAAAATGAAATTTTTGTATCAGTTATACATGCCTGCAGTAGCAAATTCAAAGGTACAAGAGGACACTGGATGAAAGTAAGTCTTGCCTCCCCCCTACCCCCCCACTGCACCCTTGTACCTGACTAACCTGTTCCCTCCCGTAGAGATGACTGCTAATGCCATTTTCTTGAGTTTTTAGTGCTTAATAAATGATTAACTGACAAAGGTTACTCCAGGAAAATTGTGAAATACATCCTGTACCCTTTTACCCCTCTTTCAGAGCCATTTAATCCTTTCCCAGGTACCAAGGATCAGTATATAGGATAGCTGTCTAGAAGAAAAACCAGACAAACTAATTTTGACAAAGTGAT